GGGGGGGGAGTGGATGTCAGCTGGGCACGGAGGTGCACGTCTGTAATCCCAGCACCCTGGAAAGCTGAGGCAGGAAAATCATGAGTTACTTCCTTGGCTAATGTAGCGATTTTGCGATACCTGTCTTAAAATAAAAAATTAAAAATGGGGACTGGGTGGGAACCCCTGGATTCAAGCTCTAGAACCATAAGGGGAAAAAAAGTGGCTGTCAAAACTCGTAAGTGAGGGGCCGGGGGCCGGGGATTTAGCTCAGTGGTTCCGCCGCCTGCCTTGCAAGCTCAAGGACTGAAGTTCGATCCCTGGTACAAAAAAAAAACGACAAATAACCTTGTACATGAGTCTTTGGGAGAAAGATTCCGTTTTGGTAATGTCAAGCCATTTTGAACTCTAAAAGATCCGCAACAGCTCACTACTGCGCATGCGAGTTTAAAGAGAGGCTGAACACATCTTTACGTGTAAAGAAAGGGGCGGTCCATTATTTTTAGCAGACCAATGAAAAACCTCCAGATTATCCTTTTTCTATTGGCTAACGAGAACCAATTAGAAGCGAACTGTCCTTTAGCGGGCGTCTGGCAGTAGCGCGCTGTGACGTAAGGTGAGGGGTCCTCGGGCGGGGCAGAGCAGAACCAATAAGAAAAGTCAAGGGGCTGGTTTGCCAGTTCTCACGCCCCACCCTCAGACGCTGCTGGAGGAAAGTTTCGCTTAGAGAAGCTAGAGGAGCGAACATGGCAGCGGGTTGGCGGCTTTGCTGGGCTTCTGCGACCATGGCGATGACGCTGCTGCTCATTTACCAGGTTCCCTCTGCCTCTGCCCAAAGAAAGAAGGAGGTAAGGATGTGCGGTTCCCAGCAACAGGGGCTTTTCCCAATGTGAGGGCCTTAAAAGAGTTTATTCACTCTCTGTGCCCTTTCCCCGCCAGTTTCTATGCCTTTGACGTCTTTAATTCACGTATTTTCCGAGTTGTTGGCTCCTCAAGAGGAGGAGCTGTAGCTCCTCGTCTTCTGAGGATGTAGAGTCAGGCTGGGGTGGAATAGGTTGTAGAGGCCTGGGAATATATATAGCTACAAGTTTTGTCGCTTCTTTGAGTTTGGGCTCCATTAGATGTTGGGGATGGGGAATTTGATTTTAGATCCAGAGAGTAGAATCAGTATAAGAGAGTCTGCTGTTGGCAAATGTAATTCCCTCATAGACGTATAAGAGGTGCCTGTTTTCTAGCATTTCCTCATAAGGAGTGTGACAGTTAATCCACAGTAAAATCATTCCAGGTTTATTACACTCTCCAAATAGTTATTCAACAAATATCAAGCGTGCTGGACACAGTTCTAGGCTCTTGACGCACATATAAATGAACACGGCTAAGATCCCACCTAGTGGAGATTACAGGCTTTGGGAAGTGAAGGTATATTATTCCTTACTCAACGTTAAGCAATCCAAACAAATGGATTTTAACATTGTGTTTTGAAACATTTGTGACCTAGAGTCATATACTTGTAGAGCCTTAAAAAGGTTAGTAGTGTTATTTATACCCTCCAATTTTATAGAGGAGAAAAACATCCTTGGGTTTACACATTTAACTTGCAGGAGGACCAAAGCCCTAGGTCAGTCATTCTAATGCTATTTCCTGTAAATGCTGTGTTTCCTCTAGAACAAAAATCCTGTATGCACACTTGTAAAATAACAAACGTTTCAGGTGCTTAACTTGAGCTGAATTAAGAAGCTGTCTTTTTATGCTTCTGAGTATTTGAACTATTTCATAAGAAAAACTAAGCAAATTAAAACAATAAATTTACTTAGATTGGCACAAAGTAAAAATACACAATAATTAAAGGTATGGTGAAGTGAACACTGGAACTAGAAATTCATGTTCTTTTTGGGAAGAGTGTTAAGCCATTTTATATGAAAAACAAGATGCTGAGCAATACGTAATTTTATACTCTAGAAAACTTATTTTTTTAATCCATGATGGCACACACCTATAATCCCAGCACCCTAGAAGGCTGAGGCAGGAGGATTGCAAGTTTGAGCCTAGCTTGGGCAATTTAGTGAAACCTTATTTCAAGATTTAAAATAATAATAATGATAATAAAAAGGGCTGGGAGTGTAGCTCATGGTGAAGAACTTGGGTTCAATCCCCAGTATCACAAAAATAGTAATAAAAGCCCACATATATGATTGTATGTATATGTATAGATAGACCTCTATAAGGATACGTGGCAGTCCCTAACGTTGGCTATCTCTGGACAGTTTGTAGTGTTGAGGAGGAAATGCTTTCCATTTTTACCTTATATACTGGTGGTATTGTCTCAGCTTCTACAATGATCATTATTCCTTTTAAATAAAATGGTAAAGTGTTTGTTTTGAGGCAAGGTTTTGTTATGTACCGAAGGCTGGCTTTGAACTCACAATCCTCCTTCCTCAGCATCCTGAATGCTGAGATTACAGGGTTGTGCCACCATGCCTGGCAAGATGAAAAGGTTTTTTTTTTTAAAGCTGTTTACCAGTGAAATATGTTTTCTCAATTATTTTTTAACTGAACTGGAAGCAAAAGTGCCTAGCAGGAAAATGATAATTTTTTTAAAAGAAAGAAACACTGAATTTTGTGTGTGTGTGTGTGTGTGTGGTGGTGGTACTGGCGATTGAACCCAGGGCCTTGCACATGCAAAGCAAGCACTGAATCAACTGAGATGCATTCCTGGCCCTGAGTTGTTGTTTTGTTTTTTGCAGTATTGAGGATTGAACCCAGAGGCACTCTACAATGAGCTACATTCCCAACCATTTTTTATATTTTGTCTTGAGGGAGAGTTTTACCAGATTGCCCATGCTGGTCTCTAATTTGCCATCCTCTTGCTATTTGCTCCTTAGTAGCTAGGATTATAGGTGTGCACCACCACTCCTGCCTGAATTGTATATATGTATTTTTAAATTTTATTTTATCGCATTCCCCCCCCAGCCCACTCCTCTCCCTATGTACAGAAACTGTTTCCATTTTTTCCTTCTATTTTCACTTTTTTCTTGTCCCTTCTTTCCTTTCTCCCTCCCTCCTCCCTTGTTCCCCTTCCCATTTGAACACTTTCTTCCCATTTCCCAACATCCATTATACAATGAATTGTATATTTTTAAATCATGAATGTGGTGGATTTTATGTTATGTGAATTTTATCTCAATTTTTAAAAAATTTTAAATCATATTCTACTTCCCATCTTTTCGTACCCACTATTCAAACTCGCATTGTTCTTGCAAATATATTACAGTAACTGATTAACAGTTTTTCCTCTAGTCCATCTTTCATATTGTTGCCTGAAGTGCCAACATGAACTCTGAAAACCCTTTAACTGATTTTTGTTGTTTTTTTTTTTTTTTGGTACCGGAGATCGAACTCGGGTCCTTGCGCTTGCGAAGCAGGCGGCGAGACCACTGAGCTAAATCTCCAGCCCCCCTTTAACTGATTTTTGCACATATTAAAATGGTTTCTCTAACTTGTTTGAGGTCTGAGCTTCTTCCTGCACTACTCATTCTGAATTATGTAACTTCCTTGATCTTTCTATACTCTTGCAAATGTCTGCACATGCAGGACTTCTGCTGGAATAAAGTATCTTTCTTCTCTTACCTTATGACCCCCTCACCTGAGGGTTCTTACTCTTCAAGTCTTATCTTAGTGCTTTGTTTTCTTTTTCTTTTTGCAGTACTAGGGATTGAACCTAGGGCCTTTGCATTCAGCTACATCCCCAGTCCTTTTAAGAATGTTAATGCCAGGTATGGTGGTGCATGCCTGTTATCCCAGCACTCGGGAGGCTGAGAGGCAGGAGGATCACTTCGAGTTCAAGGCCAGCCTGGGCTACATAGTGAGTTCAAGCCCAGCCTGAACTACACAGTGAGACCTTGTCTCAAAAAATAAATAAATAAAATGTTGAGACAAGGTCTAGCTAAGTTGCTGAATTGCCCAGGGAAGGCTAAAGCTTGTTATTTTCATGCCTCAGCCTCCCAGAATGTTGCAATTACACTCATGTGGCCCCACACCCATCTTTGTCTTATATTAAATAATACCTTGTTCCTCAGCCAAACTTCTTGGTTTCCCCCTTGACACAAATTCAGCACATCATATTGTCATTGTATGTAACTTCTGTGTGTGTGTGTGTGTGTGTGTGACTAGTGATTGAACCCAGGATATCCCACATACTGGTAAGCATTCTACCCCTGAGCTATATCCTCAGCCCCTTTTTGTTTTTGAGACAACCGTAATCCTAGCTACTTGGGAGGCTACAGCAGGGAGATCACAAGTTCAAGGTCAACCTGACCAACTTATGGGCTCCTGTCTCAAGGTAAAAAAGGCAAAGGAGATAGTGGTGCATAAATGCACCCTTGAGTTCAATCCCCAGTACTAAAAGAAACAAAATTTTTAAAAACCGCGGGATAGAGATGTACCTCTGGTAGAACACTTGCCTATATGTACAAGGCCCTGAGTTGGATGCCCAGCACCATAAAAAACAATGAAAAACTATATCCCCTAAATAAATATTATTAAAAATCACTCAAGTACCTTATTGTTTTCTATTGTTAAGTGGAATGCTACTCTAATTATTTCATTATTTATACCTTTAATATTGTTTTCATTGAAACATGAACTTCTCTAATATTTGTTGAATGCCTTCTATATGCTGGCCACCATGGTATACATGCATTATCTATAATCTTCAGATTAACAATGTAGAGTAAGGGGTCGGGGATTTAGCTCAGTGGTTCCGGCGCCTGCCTCAAAAGTGCAAGGTCCTGAGTTCGATCCCCGGTACCAAAAAAACAAAAACAATGTAGAGTAAGTATTAACTTTTTAAAAAAGATGAGGAAATTGAAGCTAAGCAAGAGAGACTGAGCTTTGCCCAAAGAGGCATAGCTCTAAGAAGCTGAACTGGGATTCCCTGGCCTGACACCAAAGCCTATGCTGTCTGTAAGGCCACAGAAGCTTTCTTTTCTTTTCTTTTTGGTACTGGGACTTGAACTCTGGACCTTGCACTTGCGAGGCAGGTGGCGGAACCACTGGGCTAAATCCCCAGCCCTCACAGAAGCTTTCTTTTGCAGTGACTGACTGACTGATTGATTGATTGATTTGAGACAGGGTCTCACTTTGTAGTTCAGGCTGGCCCTGAACTCACTATGTAGCCCAGGCTGGCCTTGAACTCACAGCGATTCTCCTGCCTCAGCCTCCCAAGTGCTGGAATTACAGGTGTGCACCACCATGCCTGGCATGATTTTATGATGGGTTACTTTCTGCCTGTGGTAGAAGAGGAGCTGCTTGCTCTCAAATCTGGTCATGTCTTAGGGAGGCAGCATGATAAAAATGAAAAAAGAGGGCCGTGGATTTAGCTCAGTCGTTCCACTGCCTGCCTCACAAGCGCAAGGTCTTGAGTTCCATCCCCAGTACCAAAAAAAAAATGAAAAAAGAATGATCTCTGATAAAATTATTCATATTTCTTGACTACTTCGGAGACTCTATAATAATAAAGAAGTAAAATGAAATATGGAAAAGGATGAATGCACAAAACAGTGAAGGATAATAAAAATGGTCATAAATAATACTACGATTACAGTGTTTCCCTTTTCTCACTTTTCAAAAACACCCTATAGTTTGGTTTTTATTTTTATTTTTTTTGGTACTGGGGATCGAACTCGGGTCCTTCCACTTGCACAGCAGGTGGCGAAACCGCTGAGCTAAATCCCCGGCCACCCTATAGTGTTTTAAAGAGGATGTGCTTTAATCCAGCCCCAGCGATATGTAGCATGATACTGAGTCTTATTTTCCTCATTGATAGAATGGAAAAAAGTGCATGTTTATG